CTCGGGGGGGTGGGGGGGGCGGTCACACTCGCGTCTCCAGTGAAAGGCTTGGCCCAGTGGACAGAGGACATTCTGGAGAACCCACTTTATACAAAGGGAAGCTGAGGGCGAAAAAAATACCAGATGTCTCCGAAAGGCAATGGGGGAGGGGCAGGGCACTCCAGGGGTCTGTCACGGGAACCCCAGGCCCCCACCGCTTGGTCCTGCCTCCCCGCTCACTGCGTCAGCTACAGCGCACCCCGCACCGCCCACCGCACTGTCTCTCCCCATCTCAGTTATCACCCATCTCCCGCTTGCAGTCTACTCCAGGAGGGCAGGGCTGCTTGTCTGTCTCGTCCCCTGCTGTGTCCCCCAATACCGGGACAGCACCTGGGCACCGCAGGTGCTTAGTAAAGACCAGGCGATGAAAACAGGAGCCCTCGACCGCGTGCACCCACAGCATCCCAGATCCGGTCGCGCGCTTTACACGCGGTCCCATCAAGCCCCACGTCTCCCGGAGGTTACTGGGAGGTGGTGATGGCACCTCTGAGGATGCGCGCCTAGGACTGCCTGCCTCCGTGGGAAGGGGCCCACCTGGCGGGGCAGGGCTCGGGGCTGCAGTCCTCGAGGGGGCCGGGGCGGGGCGCCGGCCAGCACTTGGAGTGAGGCAGGGGGACGGTGCGTCCGTGGTCCATCCTCACGCAGCGCACAGCCAGCGGCACCCGTCCCCCTCCGCAGGTCACTGGGCACGAGGCCAAGGCTCGGGTCTCCCACCTGAAGGGAAGAAAGGCTAGGGCTCCGTGGGGGGCCACACCCCAGGGTGAGACTCCTTCCTCCCTGAGGGACCCAGGCTGCTGCCCCCTGCACAGCCCCCCACCCCACTCACCAGGCTGGGCACAGGGCGGCCCGGCAGACCTCCCGTCGGTTCTCGGGCTTGCTTGCCACATCGCACAGCTCTTCCTGGACCGGCGTCCTGAGGCCAGAGTCCACGCACACGAAACGCAGCTCCATCAGGCCTGCCGGGGGGAAGAAGGGGCCCCGTGCCCCAAGAGGATGGCTCGGCGGGGCCCGGCGTGTGCGTCCCTCCGACGTGCGCTAGCAGGTGAGGCCCACGTGGCTCTGAGTCTCTGCCACCTGGACAAGGGACTTAACCTCTCTGAACCCCAGGATTTTTCACATACTGGTACCTAACTTGCAGGGATATGCATAAAGATTTTGAAAGGGGAGATACAAAGTGCCTGGCACGTAGTAGGTGCTCAACAAGTGGCAGCTCCTACTGTTTATGAGCGGCATCGTGAGAATGGCTGCGTGGACATCTCCTGCTGTGTTTCCCACAAGGCGTGGTTAGGGCCGGGTCCCTCACACGCCTCCTCCAGGATGGTCCTCCGGACAAACCTCTGGTCTCCAGCCGAAACTCGCTGAGGTTTTACCGAGCAAGCGCTTAGGGTTTAAAGAACGCCGCGGATCTTAAAATTAATTTCGTGTCTGTGGTTTGGCTGCCGGGAGCTCAGAGCTAAGTCTGGGGCCCGTGCCTCGCAGTTCTTCTGGCCCTTAAGAAATAATACCCTCGGGTGCCGACGTTGCCAGATTCTGTAATCTCTCCCTATCTTTTGGCCAATGAACACGCTACATAGCTGTTGGCACTGTGCCCCAGTCTCGTGTAGACACGTCGTACTGTCACGCACTTTGCATTTTCCATAAGCCACTCCGATTGCTTTTTAGAATTAGGCAAAATGCAGGCAGATGGGGGTTAGCTAACGAGCGCTGGTCCTCCTCAGGGGACCTCACCTCGGCCACAGGAGACGGAGCACGGCCCTGCCACGGCGGTCCACACGTGGGCAGCTCGAGCCCCCAGCCTGGCACTGCCCAATGGGGATGCAGTCCCCTCTCCCGGAGGCTGGGGGTCCAGCTGTGGGGACAAGCAACAAGCAGGTGCTCTGGGCTTTCCACCTCCAGACCCTGGAGCACCCAGCCCTTGACCCCACCCATCCCCATCTCTTCAGGAGAGAGAAGTGGTCACCAGCACCGCGGGGGCCGCCACTCCCTGCTGCTCCTCTCAGGGAGGCTGGCCCACCGTGGCCTCTGCGTCAGTGTGGGGGGCCCTGCAGGGCGGGGCTGAGAGCGAGGCGGAGCTGGATGTGCAGGCACATTTGGCCCTGTAGTGTCCAAGCCTCAAGGGAACAGGGTTGGCCGGGCCCTGTCTGAAAGCATCGTCACCCAGCCTCAAGCCCTGGACGCCAGGCAGAGCGGCAGGGAGCCGGCAGCTTTCTATCAGGCTCTGGGGGTGCGTCACTGTCACCCACGTCTTCTCCCTCTGGCTGGGAGGCCACTGGGAACCGGTCCTCCCCGTTCTCCGAGCCGCCCTCGTGCTCACTCACATGGCCCCCGCCCGGAGGACATGCCGTCTCCGTACAGGGCTCGAGGGCAGGTGGCTTGTCTGTGGAGCAGGGCCCAGCTGTCATTGGTGCCTTCGGGCCATCTGCCCCCTGCACACACGTCACATTCTGTGTGGCCAGGTCTGCTCCACAGGCCAACGAGCAAGCGTCTGACACCTCCCACCTGAGGACGGCACAGGACAGGCATCAGGCCCTGCCTCTGCCATCAGGCCATAGGGGCACCCCGGCTCCCGGCGGAGGAGGCAGCGAACCCGCTCCCCCATATCCAAGATCCCCAAAAGGGGCCCCACGAAGAAGCAAGTCCAAGCCAGATGAACTGCTTGGCACCCAGGCTGCAGGGCACAGGCCTGCCCCTCCTGCCTTCCGGGGGCGAAGGTGGGCCTCCAGCCAGATAACCATGTGGCTCCGTGCCACCCAGCAGGTGCCGAGAGCCAGTGCCAGATGCAATCGGATCACCCACGTCAAGGACAGAAAATCATTTCATACGTGACAGTCTTGAATGGCGGTATCGAAAAGGGTTCTGAGGCAGGCTTAGCCCTCAGCGGGAAGGGTGGTGATCGTTCTGTCTGCCCGGGATGTGCAGATCGTTCTGTCTGCCCGGGATGTGCAGAGCCACGTGTGGGCCCCAGGCACCCAGGCCAACCCCCTCCTCACTGGACAAGTAACAAGACTGGGGCCCAGAGCTGGCGGGGCTTGCCCTGGTCACTCGGCCAGTAGTGGCCAATCAGTTTGAACACAAGGGGACGAGAGGCACCCTGGAGTGAGACAAGTAACAAGACTAGGGCCCAGAGCGGGGGACTTGCCCTGGTCACTCGGCCAGTTAGTGACCAATCGGTTTGAACACAAGGGGACGAGAGGCACCCTGGAGTGATAGTAGCAATGAGAAAGTGACATTTGTTGATTTACATTCGTGACTTCGCTTGGTCCTTGCTGTCCCCCTGTAAAGCAGGGACTCGGAAGTTCACAGAGGGAAACGGCCAGGGCAGGGTCTCCTGGACAGGAGGGAGCTCTGAGGTTGGACCCTGAACTCTGGGCCACCACTGCCTGTCACCCAGGGTGGGGAGGCCTGGCTAGAGGCCTTGGGGACAGGAGTCACTCAGAAGGGACAGGGCCCAGTGCGGGGACGAGCCCTGCCAGGGAGACTGCCCCGCCCCCACCCTCCGTGCTCACCCTGTGGGGCAGGGCTGGGGGTTGCAGGTGTCCACCTCGGCCGGCCGCGGGGCCAGCGCTGCACACCGGGCGGGGGGCAGCGTCCTCAGGACGGCGCCCTGGGCCTCCACGCAGCGCCACGCCCGCTCCTGCAGGCCGCCCCCACAGGAGACGCTGCATGGGCCGAAGTCTCCAGCTGCCCAGCTGGGGAGGAGAGGAGCAGAGAGTCGGCCCTGGCCAGGCCCCCAGGTTCGCTTGGGGGGATGGGGTGGGAGGCAGGCAGATCTGTCCAGCTGACTCACTTCCCTGGGCCCTGTGTCCCTTTAGGTACCTGGACACTCTGCAGGTACAGCCAGCCCAGCCTTTCAGCCCTCCACGCGTCCCCAAGCTGCACCTGAGCCTGAGGATACTTGTATAACAGTGCTGGCAGGCGGCTGCCCCAGCCCCACACCCAACAGGGACAGCCTTGTCCCTAACATGATGCTCCTACCAACTGCACCTGCCACAAGTCAGGGGAGAGGCCAGGGGACACACCGACCGCCCGGGAGCTTCAGCAGCACTCACTGCGGGGGGCAGGGCTGGGGGTTGCAGGACTCCGGCCACGCCTCCGGCCTCAGGCGCTGCCCGCAGACGAGGTGCAGCGGCTGCGCGTCACGGTCACCCACGTCTGCCTGAGTTTCAGTCCCCTCGCCCGCTGAATGGGGACGCTGACGACCGGTCTAAACGGGAGCACGCCCAGAAGCCAGGCTACCGGCCCCACAAGTCAGGGGAGAGGCCAGAGGACACACCGACCGCCCGGGAGCTTCAGCAGCACTCACTGCGGGGGGCAGGGCTGGGGGTTGCAGGACTCCGGCCACGCCTCCGGCCTCAGGTCCCCTCCGCACAGGGCGGCCTCCACCTGCTGGTTCCCGGCCTGGTCCAGACAGCTGTAGGTCACCCAGCGCAGCCCTGGGAGGGAAGGGGGAGGCTAGGCCACCTCCACGGGGGTGGGGCAGGGCAAACCAGGCTTTGGGGGAGCCCTGTCCCGGGCCTCACCTGCCCCACAGCTCACCGAGCAGGACCCCCGCATGGCGGCCCACGCCCAGGGCTGCCGCCGCTTCGGCCGGAAGTAGGTGAAGGTGATGTCCGGCTGGGTGAGGTCGCCGTATTCCTCCCCGTAGCGCCTGTAAACCTGCGTGAGGCGGACGGCAGGCGCCAGGCTTTGTCCAGTGGGCTCCCTGAGGGTGGCTGTCCCCGCCACCTCCCCCGAAAGCCTTCGACTTTTCACTCCCCCATCCCTGTATTCCTCTGCTTGGCCAGCAGCGGCGGACGCTGACTGCGCGCCGGGCTCTGCGGACGGCCCAGCGAGAACACCGTCCCGGCCCCCAGGAGCTCACGGTTTTGGGGGCGGTGACAGACAATCCTGGTGACACAGGACAGGGATCTGCTCAGGGTATTAGGGGCTCGGGGTTGGGCGGAGGTGGGGCAGGTCAGGAAGGAGATCCTGGGGACCAGGAGCAGAGGTGGGTGACAGGGCGCTCCAGCAGACAGGAGCCCGGGGCGGAACCGGCACGGCGGGTGCTTTGGAGCAGGCGAGGAGGCCCGAGGAGCCGGCAGGAAGTGGCGCCCAACTCCTTAAACCTGCCCAAGACCCTCGAGGCACGACTGTGACCCACCCCCCACGCTGCAGAGGAGACGGAGGCACAGGGGGCGGCTGACGCACACGGCCATCAGTGACAGAGTCAGGATGAGAATCTGGGCAACCCAGCGTCCTTGCCCAAGGACAGCAAAGCCTGGCGGGGGGCCTTTCAGATTCCAGCTCTGGCCCTCACACCGTCCCCGCACTTCCCACCCTTAGGATGGGGCGTCCCCAGCCCTCTGGACGCTTTCGAGCCCCGGGCCAGCACGCGCTCTGTGGCGGCGGCCACGTTCCGTGGCGCACGTGTGGGGCACTACCACGTGCTCACTGTATGCTGTTTTGAAAAGCAAATCTTCACAACGGCTTTGCGACGCAGGTCTGCCCAGTCCCAGTTTGCAGGTGGGGAAACTGAGGCTCAGAAAGGCCAAGTCCCAAGTTCCTGCAGAGTCCGTCTGAGACCACAACCCGGGCTCCTGACCCCTGGGCCACCCTGCTTCTGGAGGGACACCCCCATGGTGGTCTCTAATCTGGCTGTCAGACCACCCAGCCCCCCCCCTGCTGTCACGCTCCCCACACCACCCCCCAGGCCTACACCCAGCCCTCCCTCTCACCCACAGAGCTCAGGGACTCCGTGGGCCTTGAGCCAAGGTCCCTTAGCCCTGCCCCCCAAAATGACCGCTGAGCAGATAAGAGAGCGAGTGAGTCAATGGCTGGACAAACGAACCCCAGGAGGAGGCCGGCCCGCTCACCTGGATCTCCATGTCTTCCTGGGTGGGTCCCCGGATGCGGATCTCCTCCAGGCGAGGCAGCCGGTCCTCAGTGAGAGTCACTCTGTACTGGACACGGCGGTCCTCCAGCAGGGAGGGGTGGGTGGTGCTGGCAGAGATGCTCGAGTTCCCAGCCACGATGTAGCGCCCTCGGATCCTCACTGCTGCGGGAGGAGGGCGGCCCGTCAGCACAGCGGTGCCACCCCCACCTGCGAGAGGTGGGCACCGCCCCTTTACAGACGCGGTCCCGGTTTAAGGAGTGGGGGAGAGGTGACAGCTGGGCCAGGGGGATGTCATCTCCACGACCACATCTGTGACTGTTCTCCCCGGCGTCCCCAGTCCCCTAGGGAGTAAGCAAGTCCTCCTGGTGTCTCGGCCCGGTGGTCTCTGGCGCGAGCAAGCGACATCCCCAGGATGCGCACAGGGGTCTGAGCCCAGAAGGCTCCCCATGGCAGGGGGCCCTGCCTCTCTCCAGGACCTGGCGAGCCCCATGGGCCTGCTTCCCTCACCGAGCGCACTCACACGGGCTCTAGGGGCAAGGTCGGGGGCTCGGGGGTCCCGGGGTAGGTGCCCCCACTCCAGGTTCAAAGGTCAGGCAGGAGCATCCTTGGAAATAAAGCCCCACTGTGCCCTGAGTGGTAAAGAGGTGGGCGGTGCACAAAGACGGGTCTGGTCTCTGCCCTCGGCTTCCGGGAGGGAACCTACGTCACCTGTTGGGAGCGTCTTTGTTTAAGGTGAGGTCTGGCCGCACCAGAAAGCCCAACCACGTGATCTAGGGGGCTTTGGGTCCCGTGGCACCAGTCAACCAGGAGACTGAGGTCATCCACGTGAGCAACCGATCAACTCATCGACCATGCCTACGTCATGAAGCCCCAACTGGACACTAAACCCAGGGGAGCTCGCTGGGTTGGCCGTGCTCTGTGCACAATGTCGCGTCCCAGTGCTGGACGCGGAACCCTCCCGGGCTCTGCCCTGGGCATCTCTCCTTTGGCTGGTTTCATTCTGTTACCTGCACCTGTAATCAGCTGTCACTGTGAGCACAACAGCTCTGCGTTCCGCGAGTCCCTTAGTGAACTGGGGAACCCCTGAACTTGCAGTTGTGCTCAAAAGCGAGGGCATCAGAAGTGAGGGCGTCTTGGGAACCATGCCCTCGACCTTCTCAGTCTGGCTACGTCCGGTGGGCGTCCTCCGGCCGACTCACCCAGGTGCTGTCACTGCGAGCTCAACAGCTCTGCGTTCCGAGAGTCCCTTAGTGAACTGGGGAAGCCCTGAACTTGCAGTTGGCATCAGAAGCGAGGGCGTCTTGGGGACCATGCCCTCGACCTTCTCAGTCTGGCTACATCCGGTGGGCGTCCTCCGGCCGACTCACCCAGGTGCGTGAAGAGAGGCCGGTGGTTGGCAATGTACACACCAGTCAGGTTGGGGCCGAGTGTCAGGAACGTGACGTACTCTAAGAGGAAGCAGAGAAGGGCAGGTGGTCTCAGGCACCTAAATCACAGTCAAGGGAGCAGATTTCAGTGCCT